TTCCTGCTGTGCCGAGATTCTGTTTCATTTTGTCATGAAGATTATTTGATGCACCATTATATTGTGAAAACCCTTGATAAGGTGAACATTTGCCGGGACTAATCTTGCAAATACGAAAGAGTTCATGGATAATTACAAGGATTAAAAATATCAAATCCTTCTAAATTATTGGTCAAAATAAAAAAAAGTTTTTGAATAAATTATTCAATATGTAGCTTGTTGCACTCCTTTTCTCCATTTTGGTTCTTCAAATTGGTGTTTAAATAACATTGGTCTTCGGCTTATTAAAAAAATGTAATACAAAGCTCGGCATATGATCAAGTTCTTATATTAAGTAAAAAGACAATTCAATTAATTTCTACGTAGGCTTACATAGAGGCATGCATGCCTAATGAGGTAGAAGTAGGGACGTGCAATATTATTTGCTTCAAATAACTTAGGGAGTCTTTCAAGAATTCCAATGATTAAGACGTTGAATCTCTATTTAGAAGGCAGATCAGGAGGTTTCAAACCTGAGGTTAATTACTTAAACTTAGGGTTTTGACTTGCCTAGCTCAAGGAAGGAAAGCTGACGTGCTTTTCCACAGTGCATGATCATATTTAGCTTGGAATCAAACAATTCATATAATTTTAAATAGAAAGCAATATGTGAATTTGATCAAGAAAACGCAAGTATATAATCCTTCTTGGAATTGTAATTACTGCCATTACATTACATTACGAGACAACAAAGTGATACAATAAATAACACTATTTCATTTCACCATGGACCTTCACTATAGATCCTTATTGTAGAGAAAAGCTTGTTTCATTCAAGATCATTGCCTTCTTTTTGGAAATTTGTTCGTAAACGATACAGAGAGAAATACGTTATTGCTACTGCTACGTATACATCTCATAGCTTGATCAAAAAGAAGCTTAGTAGTGTGGAGGAGGTGGAGACTTGTAGACGTATGGGGGAGGGGGGGACTTCTTTGGAGGAGGAGGTGAAGAGTAGTGGTATGGGGGGGGTGGTGAAGGAGATGGTGGAGTGGGGGACTTATAGACATAGGGAGGAGGGGGGGATTTCTTTGGAGGTGGAGGTGAAGAGTAGTGGTATGGGGGTGGTGGAGATTTCAATGGTGGAGGTGGGGATTTATAGATGTATGGAGGAGGGTGGGATTTCTTTGGGGGAGGAGGTGATGAGTAATGATATGGAGGAGGTGGAGATTTCAATGGTGGAGGTGGGGATTTGTAGATGTATGGAGGAGGGGGAGATTTCTTTGGGGGTGGAGGTGATAAGTAATGATATGGAGGAGGTGGAGAAGGAGATGGAGGAGGTGGAGATTTCAATGGTGGAGGTGGTGATTTGTAGTAATAAGGCTCTTTGGCTACTACACTGGTGGCAACCACGCAAAATGCTAGAGCATAAATCATTTGAGACAAGAGTCCTGGCTGCCCCCCTTTTTCCATCTTTAGAACTACTGCTTCTGTGTTTGCATGGTGAGCATGGATGCTGCCCTTTATATAGAGCTCTCCGATCATTATTAACAAAGATATTGTTTAACGATTATCATTATAACCTAGATTAACGCTACAAGTTTCCTATTGTTTAATGTCTTTTGTCAATTTTCTACTGGTGTGTTCCCACTATCTCAATCATGACCATAACAAACCTTGAAATTTTCAGCTTGAAAGAGTTGGTGAGATGCTCTAGCTATTTCTCATCTAGAACTGCAAAACACTTCCTCTGTACTACGTACCTTCAAGTCAAGATTTGCAAATCTGATCACTCTAAAACGTTGGTGTCTTGTAATTTCGCCTTGGCAGGCAAAGTCATGCAAATGGCTTAGAATCAACATGCAATAAGGGCTATGTGGACGGTAAATGCAGCTCCTAGTAACAAATTCATGGATCCACCAATTTCAGTGTCGGCAAGTAATTTTTTTCACGGTAAAAAAGATATATCCCTTTTGCTTTTACTGGACTACCACGTATTGAATTGTAAATTCATTGGTATATATATAGTATAATTTTAACTCACTTACCTATTTATCTCCATGAAAGTTCAAAGTTAAGAAGACAATTTTGATATTTAACTTGAGTAGAAAATTTTCTAATTCCGCGTGGAATAAACAAAACTAATTATTAATTCCCACCTAATTTTTACAAGGATTAGTCAATATATACCACAACTTAACACTCCAATTTAGGACCATAAATTAAAAGGATATTGTTCTATATATATCTAGGGTTCAGTCTTTGTATGTGTTGAAAAATGATGGGAAGATTCATATTAATTCAATGTATAGTTTAATTCCACTTGAAATTTAATTAAATCATCTTTTTAATGTTCTGCAAAATTCCAGGCTGCTACCGAATTCTTTGATAAAATAGACATGTTTGGACTCTTTAGAAAGTGCTCTATTTTCTTTTAAGATAAATTTAACACCTTACAATTCAAGAATGCGTCAGAATTCAAAATTTATCTATGTCAAATTAAGAGTAACATGATGTATCATATTTGTAAAATTAATCTGAACCGTTTATTTTTAAAATTATGTATGTTTTATTTATCTATTCTAAATCATGTGTTTTATGAATGTTAGATTTCCTGACGATGTATTTGTTTTTACGTTACACTAGCATGAATTTTTGTTGCGGTGCACCGCAAATACACAAGTATTAGTAGGTAGTGTTCTTGTTTGGTAAATCAATCTTCAATTGAACCACCAAGTTATTGTTTAATGCAAATTGTTTGACAAAGGAACAAGTATAGAGCCTCCTTAATTGCACAAAGAAAATAAGGATAATAAGAACAAAGACTTGAGAGAATTCGATGCCTAACTCTTTGGCTCTCTCAGCTTTCAAGCACGAGATCGTTGTCAAAATACTCGACTTATCCATACAGTCAGGTAGTGATCGATTCCAAGCAGCAGGTTCTGCGGAGTCAATAGTAATGTGAATCCGTCTTGTATGTACACTCAGTCAATAGCTGCCTAAAATTAGCTTGCAAATCATGCCTGCACTAAGAGATTAAGAGCCTCCTTAATTGCACGAAGAAAACTAGCATAATAAGAACAAAGACTTGGAGAATTCGATGCCTAACTCTTCAACAATTTACTTAGCTCTCTTCTTTCAAAAACAAGATCGTTGTCAATATACTCATATAGTCAAGTAGCGATCCAATCAAGGAAGATATTTTAATCCAAACCTAATAGGTATAAACTTAAATTGAATGAAATTGTTTATTTGATGGATAATGGATAGGATATATATTATCTCAATTCTGATTTCAAAACTCAATTCAAATTTGATTTTATATATATATATATATCAAAACTTGATGAATAAAGTAAGAGTAGCTTATATTTTATAGAGTAGAAATCCAATCTATAAGATCGATTCTATACAGCAGCTTCTGGAGAGTCGGTAGCAAATGTGAATCCGTCTTGTATATACTCAGCCAATAACTGTCTAAAATTAGCTTGCAACCCGTGCTTCCATTAGGATTGCGAGAAAGAAATGATGAAGACAGGAATGGCCCGCTTAAAATCAAACCCAAAAAATGATTCAGTCTTGGTGCCCACAGCTGTCCTGGAAATTCTCCGGCTTGAAACCAAAAATTGGGGCTGGGATGTAAATAAATTATGCGTCTTACAAAAGGCGATGGTCAAAAACTGATCAAAGACATCCAAAGGACTAGATAACTAAGGGAAGAAAAGGATCGATCCTCTTCCCGAAAAAAAAAAAAAAAACAGAGGATAGATTTGAAGCAATCACCTGGAACCTAGTTATTACCAAACCATCTGAACTAGAATTTATTTGCAAACATAAGAAATGATTTTTAAAGGTTATGGCATCTAGATTGCTTTGAATTATATGCACGGCATTAAAGTTCGACCAAATCTTGAAAAATTCTTCCCAGGAATTTCGTGCCGGCTCACATGAGTGCTGCCCCACGATACAAGTTCTTGATAGAATGGCATACACCAGCAGGCATGCTCTCATGAAGACCTCGCACGGATATAAGCAGGCCCATAATAAGGAAACAAGTCGATGGATCTTCGTTCGTTTGAAAGTTAACCCTTTGAATATCATCGGTTACGTACGTGTAGTGATAGACAATAAGCTAATAACACCATGAGATTGGGTTGATCATAAAAGCACAATAAAATCCCCTGCATCTCGATTCAATGACTTCATTTTTGTGCAAAGTTTGTAATCTGATTTATTACAAAACTAGCATCTTTCCTTTCTACAGAAGAAAATGAAAATTTGATAGAGACAACTGTGTAAGCAAGAAAAATACCCAAACTTAAGACGCATGAAAAAATGAGAGTTTCCATCTTTATGTCCATCAGTCATTATACCTTAATGTTTTGATGCATCGCCAAAAACCTCCGTGTAGCAAATGGGGCAGGCCTGTAGGTAGATGGTCATCAGCGTTTTAAGGAATTTGAAAATAAACCACAGCTCACGTTGTTCTCAACTTTGTCATGAAAATCTCAGAGGCTTACCTTATTGATGCAAAGCCATCTGGTCCCGCAACCAGCATGGTAGATATGTTTGCATGGTAGAGTGATCCGGCGATCTCCCCGCTTATATTCCATTTGGCAAATCACACACCTATATCCAACAAGAAAAAAATGGTTAGACTAGTGAAACAAAAGGAGAAGATGAAAAAGTGTGGCCAGGATATTCATCACAAAGTATATTTTGAAATTGCAATAAAAGAGTTCATGCTTCACCAATGATCAAGAAAAACCTATTCTTTGCTCTGTTTTCTTAACCTTGCATCTAGGCATCTATCCCTCTGGTTCTAGTATTAACCGATAAATTTGAAAAAAAAATGTTTGAATTCGTTTTGAAACTCTTGGATAAGCATAAATTATGCTTGAAACAGTGTGCAGTGACCGTACATGGATGTTGTCTCCAAGATGTTTGACTAGCATGCCTCATATCTCAAAACCTACAAAAAGCATTGTTTTGCTAAAGTCCACAAAACCGAAAGTCCAATAAATATAAATAAGTAAATAAAAAAAAAATAGTTTCACCAGTAAAACTAGTCTGAAAGGTCAATGAGTTTCCTCTACGAGACATTGAAATACGGACAGAATTAATAGCACACTGGATTGCAAACCAGTGGAAGATAGAAGGATAATGAAAATTATGTCAAAATTCTCACTGCATTCATGTAATTAAAATTAAAAAATGCAACCAATTACCAACCATAACAAGGAATCAGTGTTTATACCACATTACTACCCCTGCATCTAGTTCACCAATTAATTAACCAATCTAAAATATCTTACAGATATAGCAATATAACAGAAAATCTATGCTAATGAAAATAAATAGACCAAAATAGAAGCAGAGAGCATGAACACTTTATTTATTGACAACAATTTGCACAGAATCCAGGTCCGGCAAGATATGACAGCTGTAAGCAAAATAGACAGCCAAACTACCACACGACAAAAAAAATGTTCATCAATTTACAACAAATGTAAGCCCAAATGGTACCTCTCGCTTCTTGATTTCCTCCTTGAGAAGAAGCTGCGATTGTATTTTGAGATTGGAAGCAAAGAAATGAGCTCTTGGGAAAGACCTCGATTTTGGGTGCCAACTGTCTCGCCTAATTCAAGCAATTCCTGAAATGGAAATTTTTTATTAATAATATTTATACAAGTAGAGTGTTGTTAGCCAGACACAATGTCCTAAAGAGCAGAGAGTTCTGATTGCCAGATTGTCTGAGTTTGGAGGTTTGTACAGTATGATAATTCTGAACAAAGAAAATTTAACACAAGCGTGGAAGTGTGGCAGGAGGTGGATCTCTATTTCATCTCAGTGAGAAAAATCAGTTTTTTTCTCGCAATCTGGAAATGGACCTTTCATATTCTGAATGTCTTTTGGAAAGTAAAGTACAACAACAATATGGAATTTATAAAAACAAAAAACTACAGAAGAAAAGAAATGGGAATTATGCTCTAACCTCGTAAGTCATACTGTCTAGATCAACGTTGTCTTGCCAAATAGCCTGTGTAGGCCACAGATAATACAATACAGTTATTTAGGCAGGTACAACCATACAAGATATTTCAGGGGATGAAAAGAGAGTAGCAAATAACGTATATTAACTGCATTTATGTCTTATATCAACCAAAGTTGTCTGCAAAAGTGCCTCTTGGATCATGATTGCTTATTGATATGATCTAATGCTATAATAAGCAAAGACATTTCCAATAAAAGTATTAAGTGTTTGAAGTATGGATTCCCATTTTTACATGATTCTCTGAACATGGCCTTTTCCTAAGGACTACATAGTTCTGTATGAAACTATAAGCAAATGAAACAAATTAATGAAATTTAAAGGGTTAGATATGAAGTTTCTCTTTCTTATTTCTCAATTTCCTTCTCACTGTAATGATTATTTAGAACTCTGCATTGCTATCATTTGAGTGCTTTTCGTTTCCAAACAGTGTGTCCTGATTAATTACATTTGCTACATTTTCCTAAAACTAAAAAGAGCACGGATGCTCCCACTGGGCAGCAACCTAGAGTAGGGATGTGACACAGAGAGAGGAGGCAATTAATATAGCTGTAGCATTGAGTTATAACTTCTTGTGTGCTAAGACCATTACGAAGTTACCACACCTGATAATCCTGAACATTATGATGTCTGCGCAAACCTGGAAAAAAGAACATAACATAGATAAGAAAAGGCTGTTAATGTCGCAAATGAATGGTGTATGGGTGAAAAGAAGATATCACAATATGCAAATATATGACTCAACTCAAATCAACAGAAAATTAATCCCGTGACCAACTGAATGGAAATGTTAAATCTCAGAACAAAAGATCCATGAATAATTTTTCGATGTAATTCACATATGGAAAGATAAAAAGATAAAACTTTCTCGCATGTAATAATAGAGGTCAGAAAATATTCATTAGGCTATTTGTTGGGTACATACTACCAATATAGACCTCAAAACTTACATTCTACAGGGTCATCATGAGAAGTCCTGTTTTCATTTACTTCCCCTTCTGTATTTACTCTGGAAATCTGTTCATTAGTCGTTGTGGAAGAATTCTCCAAGGGCCTTCCATATTCTTCATTCCGCAGTCCATTATCATGAAACTCATAAATATGAGTTGGGTCATAATATGAAGTTCTCCCTGGTGGGGATATGCCGAACTTGTAGAAATTTGCATTTGTCGAGGGGTATACGATATCCTGTAAATGCAAGAAGGTCATTTGTACAAGAACAAAACCACAAACTACTAATTGCTGCATCGTCTATATATTTAAAAATAAAATACAGATAACAGAACCAGAAAAAGAAACTCTATTTGTTTTGGCCACGAGCTTGCATTTTTATGGATCTAAATACTGTTCAAAGCATCCAAAATTTGCAAATAAAAGGTACCTGAGCGTGGGAACCTCCGTTGAAAATGAAATTCACATGGTCATACGTAAGACCTTCGAAATATTCAATGAAACTTCCAGCCGAATTATATGGGTAGCTAGGGTTCATGTAATGACCCTCCATGTGTGTATTCCAATTCATTTCGAACCACTAATCTGTAACACAATTAAGTCATGACATGATCCCAGAACATCAAAATAGAATTTAGTTTAGAAAAAAAAAAAAAAACAGGTAAAACAGAAACCAACCTGCTCTTTTAAAGTTCAGACTCGGAGTTCTCACTCTCAAAACCAAAACTTTTGCATGAATAAACTATCCCTTAATCACTTTCTAATCACCTCACTACTCCTACAAAACAAACAACAAATTAGAATAAATTTTGATGGATACAAGAAAAATCAAACAACGAAATCAGCAATGCTTGCATATTCAAAACACACCAAGGAACAAAGGGTCCAACTTGTTGAAAATTGCTTCAAGAAAAAGCCAATAATTACAGAGAAACATGGAAAAAAAATAGAGAAATACAACCAAAATAGCTCTCTTAAGCCATAACTTGTTGTTTCTACAAAAATGCCAAGAACCCATTTCCATGAAGCATCCAAACCAGATGCTTGTGATCTCTAATTACCTCTATCAACTCAAAAGGAACCATTTTTTTTTACATTTTCAAACAGTTGTAACTACTGCAAGATTTTGATCTCTGAAACAACTGTTATATTAAGTGATTTCTTGATCTCTAAAAAGAGAAAGATCCCACATTGTAAGACTGAACCAAGGATTAGGAATTTAAGTTGTACCTGAAAATGTGGGAGAGCAATGGGAGAGAAACGTGAAACAAGTGGATCAGGGGATGAAGACAAGAATATATACCTCTCTCTCTATATATATATAAGCAATAAAGAACGAGAAAGAGAATCCGATACTCACAAGCAGTAAAACATTGACTGGTGATTGCTTTAGAAGAAGAAACTGGAAGAGAAGGTAGACTAGAGAGAGACAAAGAGACACTCACTTTCTTTTATCTCTCTCTCTGTCTCTCTCTCTCCTCTTATTCTCTGTTCTGAGAGCAAGTGGGAGTGAAGGTTGCCTGTGTGATGTCTCGTGGCGTGGCGCCTTTCCTGCAGGATTGGCTTTTCTTACTGGGTATAAATATATTAAAATTATATTTTTTATTTTTTAAAATTTATTTTTAATATTATAAATCAAAAAAATTAAAAATTAAAAAAAAACTAATTTTTTCAAAAATATTTTTTCACCAAAAAAACAATCAAACAAACATCCCTTTAAAGGTTAGGAGAGACGGTGATAACATAGTCTATTACATGTTAAAATTCTTAAAGTTATTACAATATTTTATATAAAAGAACTAGATATATTAAATAAAAAATAAATTTAGAAAAGTATTTCTTTTAAATAGAAAAATTAAAGTAGAAGAACAGAAAAAAAATCTATTTTTCTAAAACAAACTTGAAAGTTGTAGTTTTAAAACTGTTAATTCAAAACTAGGATTGTTGTAATGTTAAAAAAAGTTAAAACAATAATGTTCTAGGAAATAATATTTTAAAAATAATTGATCTTATTTGAATTTTAACTAAATTAGCTAACCAGGTCAAATAAATATTACTGAATCAATATTTAAACCGATTAAAAATAAAATCTCTATCTTCTCGCACAATATCAACGAAACCCTATAGATATCTCAAAACAACACATCATATGTGTTATCGGGAGCCACAGCATAACAATAATAACCATATCATTAATAGTTAAATTCCAAAATTTAATTTTGAGACCTGAAAATCTTGGCAATTGGCAGGAACTGCTACATTTGTCAAGAAAATCACAGATGAGATGCTTTGAAAGGTGGCCTCATTAACATTAAGCCAGTGGATGGCCCAATATTTGTAAGAACATGATTTGGGGTGGCACTGGGTGGTTGGCTTGTGTCCTAGAACATGTGATTATATATATATATATATACAGGAAGATCACCAAACCAGATGACTCTCTCAAGAGGAAGCTGGTGTGTGTCAGTTAAGGTAGGTTGGTTTAGGAATCAATCTCCAAAACACACACACACACTCATCAAAGATAAAGTTATTTGCCTCAGCTGGAAATATATCCATCTTCTGCTACCGAAAATTATGTAATGGGGATCATTAGTTAGCATTTAATTATTGTTTAGAGACAGAAAAAACGGAGATAGTAAAAACTACAACGTTATCTCATCCAAAACTGTCTTGTAAAAAATTTATTTTTATATGTTCACTTTAATTTTTTCAACTTTTCATCCCATTAACTTCATTTTTTATGTTCCTCGATAGTAACCAAGCTTTACCTGGTGTTTAAAGCTTTCTCATGGTAGGGTATCCAGAACAATAAACTTTAATATAAAAGAAAAATAAACATGTTTCTGCATATAAAGTGCATGGTTTGTATAATTAAATATGGGGGTGACATTTTTTAGCAGGTGGATGACATGGAAAGGATCAAAATCATGAAGAAAGTTTTGGAATGTCCTCAATGGGGACCCCACGAAAGAATTCTCAGGTGCTTGGTGATTAGGGTTCGTGAGGAAACTATTCCAAGAAGTACAGAGAAGTTCTGGTAACAAGCAAGTATAGAGTGGTTAGGTCCACCATGACGTGGGGCAAAATTAAAGGGAGTTTTTACCTCCGCCTTCCATCTTCTTCCCTAATTTGTTCATCCACCTCAAGGCATGACAAATATTGGTAGGTGGAGAGTTTCTTAGTAGTAAACGAGAATGGTTGTGCTAAACCAGTTTAGGTCAAAAAAGTCCCAACAAATTTCCTATTTGGGTTGAAAGGATAGGTGTCGAAGTTACATTCCCAACTTGGCCTCTCCTGTTGTCATCCCTTCTCTTCAATATAATCAATCACATAATAAATGTCAACTGATCATTAGCAGGTCGAGTGCGAGATGTACAAGTGAAAAGGCAAGAAATTTCAAGTAAATTTTTATGGTGTTGATGGTGGTTATTTCTTGCGATCAATTTTAAAATATAAAGTAAATAATTTAAATTAAAATTATATAATATAATTTATATTATTTTTTAATATATATTTTTAATTAAAAATTATTTGAACTTGAAATTTATACAAATTTATAATATATTATATTTAATTTTAATCATATTAATAAGAATGATGAGATTTAAATATGTAATGACTATCAAAATTTTAATATTATATCAAAAAAATTATATTAATTCAATAACTTAAACAGTCAGATAAAATTTTAAAATATAATTTATATTATTTTTTAATATAAAAAAATACAATAAGCAAAAAGAAAATGAAAATCATATTCACTAAAAATAATAAAAATACTTTCATCTAGGATTGATTTCATCTAAAAAGGTAATTATTAGGATGTGATTAATGTCTGCAACAGCAGCTTCAATTTGAGGAGCATAAAATTCTCAAAATTGCATGTATGTGACTAAAATTGGTAGTAAAACCGATTAGATACTTGGTAGCTACAAGTCGGCTAGGACAGTACAGAAAGAGAAGTTCCTGCATCCCAATAGTTCAAATTTATGATGATTGGAAGCTACATCACTGGCCAGTGCTATGGACCATATGGCCATGCGATCAGTGTGGCCTGACCAAAGAGCCTAAAAGGCTGTCAACCATGTGGGAGAAACAGAGAGTTGACAAAGAAACAGAACGTGAAGGTGAATGAACAAAACCTAGCGCGCGAATCATTGTGCATATATTCCCTCTATCCTTTATCTCCACGCTTGTGCAATGCTGAGTTCTGTTTTAGGCTATCCCTGATGTTAATATCAAAACCCAACATTGGATCCCAACTTACCTGCAAAAAGGTAGGGCTTTTTATTTTCCCTACTTTTTTATTATGTTTTGCATCCCACCTAGACCCAGCCCTAGCTCTTTCAAAGAATTTCTTTTGGCACTCACTGATGGGTTCAACACAGCCAATTGAACCCAGAGCAAAATCATCATTCTTGAGAGATCAAGGGCAAGGCATGCCCAGATGGGTTCAGCAAGCAATGCAAATGAAGCATTCCATGACTAATTGTTGTCTCGGTTCCATATGAAAAATGCATCTGATGTAGAGGATGCCATTAGGTTTGAACTTGAATGCCTGAGAGGAAGTCATCTAAAACAGTTGAAACTTCAGACATAGCAAACTCCAATTGTCTTGTTAATCAGATTAAAACATTCATAAATCTGTTCAGATTGAGGATGTGATTTATCTCTAACAATAAATTCATTGATAATGCCATTCACCTCAATTGAACTAGAACCAGGAGTCTTCTCGACTCCTCTTTCCATCATCATCTTTCTTATGTTCTGAGCCTCCTCCCACTTACCAGCTTCCCTGTACATATTTGCAAGCAAGACGTATATTCCGCTGTCATGGGGATCCAAGTCAAGAAGCTTTGAAGCTGCTTTTTCCCCTATTAGAAGATTCCTATGAATTCCACAAGCGAAGAACAACGCACCCCAAACCATAGCATCTGCTTCCATTGGCATTGTTTTAATAAGCTCTTCAGCCTCCTCCAACAAATCAGCCCTACCAAGAAGATTCACCATGCAAGAATAGTGTTTAGGATGGGGAGACAGGTTGAATCTGGACTTCATTTGATCAAAATACTCGCGACCTTCTTCAACTAACCCTCCATGACAACAAGCTGTTAGAACCCCAAGAAAGGTGATTTCATCTGGCATCAATCCAATATCAATCATCTTAGAGAAGTAAAATAAGGCATCATTTACATTCCCATAAAGAGCCAAACCACCTATAATGGCTGTCCAGGTCAAAGAGTTTCTTCTTGGCATCTCATTGAAAACCTGAAGAGCCTTTGTCATATTCCCACATTTTGCATACATGTCAATTAATGCAGTACCTAAGGCAACATCTAAAGAGAGATTGTGCTTTTTAATATAGTTGTGAGTCCACATTCCAGTATCAAGTGCTCCAAGTTGTGAGCAAGCAGATAAGCAATGAAGCATGGTCACCTTATCAGGTTTCATATTGCTCAATTGCATTTCACGAAACAATTCTAAAGCCTCCAAGCTAAGATTAGCTTGAACACAACTTCCAATCATGGCATTCCATGCCACAACATTCTTCTCTGGCATATCATGAAAAAGCTTCCCAGCCATATCCAAAAGCCCATTTTTCGCATACCCAACAATCATCGTAGTCCATGAAACAACTGTCTTCTTTTTCATATTATCAAACAAAACTTTCCCCGCCTCAAGATCCCCACATTTCGCATACATGTCCATAAGTGCATTAACAAGCGAAATTTTCAAATTCAATCCACTTTCTTCAATATAACGATGAATTTCTCTCCCAAGTTGCAAACTTTCTAATTGTGCACAAGCGGATACAACACCGATCATTGTCACCTCATCAGGCTTAACTTGCTCCATTATCATTTGTTGATAAATTCCCATTGCCTCCCTTGGCTGCCTCCTTCTTACATACCCATTAATCAATGAATTCCAAGAAACCAAGTCTCTCACACAACCTTCATCAAACACCTTATGCGCCAACCCCAACTCTCCAACCGAAATCAACATATGTATTATCCCATTATACAGATACATATCCTTATCAAAACCCATTTTCAATACCTGTCCAAGAATCTCAAAACCCATATAACTTAACACTAAATTAGCACAAACTTTAAACAAAAAAGAATAAGTATAGTTATCAGGCCTACAACCAGCCCTAGTCAGCATCCTTTTATACAGGACTAAACCTTTTTGCGGATTTTCACTCTCTAAGCACCCTCTAATCACTGCATTCCAAGAAAACACATTTGGGTTTTGTAAATTATTCAAAATTTTGATACAATAATCAAGATTTCTTGATTCTGATATTGCACAAAACAAAATTAAGCGACTTGAAGCAAACCCA